CTACTTGGAACACTAGTGGGGGAGAAATCACTTGAGTCCAGGACTAGGGCAACATAATGAGTTTTTGCCTCAAAGTGTGTAAATAACACGCCCAGCAGAGGTCCTGGGGGTTTCCAGCATGTGCATCCTAACACACTATATCCTGCTCTCTGCACAGCACACCGCAGCTGGGGATGAAGGTGGCGGCCAGTCGCTGGTGTCGCCCGGTAGCTGTCTGGAGGACTTCCGGGCAACACCTTTCATCGAGTGTAACGGAGGCCGTGGAACCTGCCACTACTTCGCTAACAAGTACAGCTTTTGGCTGACCACAATCCCTGAGCAGAGTTTCCAGGGCACACCATCCGCCGACACACTCAAGGCCGGCCTCATCCGCACGCATATTAGCCGCTGCCAAGTGTGCATGAAGAACCTGTAGGCTGCCCACCCTGCCGGCCAGCAGCTGTGTGGGAAGGCCTCTTTGGTGCTCATTCTCTCCTGTATTTGTTCCATTTTTGTTTGAGAGAGTGTCTCACTTTTCATCCCTATCTAGCCTGGAACTATGTAACCCAGGCTGGCCCCCAACCTGTGGCAAACCTCCTGCCTCAGCTTCCCAAGTGCTGGGATTACAGGCTTGTGCCACCACACCCAGCTTGGTGCTTACTCTCTTAACTTATTACCTCAGATGCTGACCCCAAAGGTGATCTTAGTATTTTCTTTAAAAAAGGAGAAAAAAAAAAAAAGCCTGCCAAAGCAGCCCTGTACTCACACCAGTTGCCTGTCAGCAAGTGGGCACGGGTTCCTCCAGGCTCTGATGCCTGTGGGCCTCTGCCCTGTTACCCCTCACCATGTGGAATGTGGACATCATGCCACCAGGAGTAGCCGACATAACTGTCCGTATGTCTCCACTGTCTGCAGGGGGCCACCTTCCTTCACTCTTCACTCTTGTCCTAGAATGAGGCAGACTCTGCAGGACAGCAGAGGGGACTGGCCAATGACACCTGAGGCTCACTGCCACCTGTCTCCACCCAAGGATCCTTGCAGGGCACTCTATCAAGTCCTGTTTCCTTGGCAGAGGGGATGGCACTATCATTTTCTACCCAATCCAAAGCTGCTACCTCCCAAGTCCCCACACGGTGGCACCTGCCTTTTTAAGACCCTGACAGTGGCACGTGGCACTGGCTCTAGCCAAACCCACAGGGAAGGAGAGATCTCACTAGCCTTCACCAGCATCTGCTGGAAGGTACACTTAGCAAGTCATTCACAGTGGTGTCCTAACAACCTGTGTCACCTTAAACACATTCCCCCTACCTCATACCCTGCTGCAAGCTGTTCTATGACTTTCCTGTGTAACACCACAAATAAAGATAAAATAAAGATATTCCAAGTATTTGACTATTTTATAGAGCATGTGTGTATGCTTGTGTGTGAGAGAGAGGTGATCTTGTGTATAAAGGCCAGAGTACATGTTAAGCATCATTCCTCAGGTGCCACTACCCTTCTTTTTTCAGACAGGACCTCTCACTGGTCTGGAATTTTGCCAATTAGACTGGCTGGCAGGCCAGCAAACCCAAAGATCCACCAGTCCTGATGTGTGTGTCTCAGTGGGAACAAACTGCAATTTTGGCGGATTTGGTCTCCTGTCTGTATTGTATTTCTCATTTCTCAATAAATATTTTGGGAGTCACTCACATGTCAGAGTGAGGAGGCTGGACATCCCTCAAAGACATTCCCAAGGTCATTCATTAGTCCCAAACCAGCTTCCAAATCCACTGTCAGAATTTGAAAGTCACACTCTCCAGGATGCAGCTCAGCCGCTGATGACTCTGGAATCTACCTAGGTTGTGGCCTTGTTGAAAGAGACAGGCCCCTGGGAGCAGGCTTCAAGGTTTCTAAAGACTCATGGGATACACAGTCCTCTCTCTCTGTGGTTGTGGATTAAGATCTGACTTTCTGCTGTTCCTTCACACCATCATGGACTCTGTCCCTCTGAAACTGTGAGACAAATTAAATATTTTCTTTTTTAAGTCGCCCTAGTGATGGCATTTTATCATAGCAATAGGAAAGCAGCTAACACAGTGTCCTTTGGGAGGTGGAATGCAAGGACTAGAGGCCCCACTGCAAAGCCACACAGGGACATAGAGAAAGCACATGTCCTCCCTGGCTCCAAATGTACTCTGATATTCTCCTGTCCCAAAACCTCCTACAGATAAACTTCTGTCAGATGCAGGTGTGACAGGAAATGCTGTGTCCCTTGCATGGCCAAAATCCAAGAACAAGAGTTAGATGGGGTGGACGCAGCTTGGTAGATTCGGGTACGATGGGGACATTAAGTAGCCCTAGCACTGCAGTAATTTCCTACAGAGCCATTTGCTCCTCTGGGGGACAGACCTGGCTTCTCTCTGTAGTGGGACATGGCTGTCCTATTGCCTTGTGATGACTTAGTCATCATTCTACACCTGAGTGGGCAGGGGATCTGAGCATCCCTAGAGGTGTCATACCTCCCTTCTTCCAGGACAAACTCTACCAGGGCTTATGGGTCAACAAATGCAGTTACCCACACAGATTTCCAGGCTCCTGTGACTCCCCACAGGGAGAAACTGAGACATAAATCAAGAAACAATGGCTGCTGAATTGTCCTGGGACAGGGGAGAGCCCCCTGTAAAACTGGAGAAACACTTGACATTCATGAAGCAGAAACAACTCCAGCCACCAGAGTGCAGCCTACGGCCTGCAGACCAATTCCACCCCCAGCTGTACTGCCTCCCCTTCATTCCCAGGAGAGCAGGATGCAGGAGTGTTTGCCTTAGAACCAGATCAGGCTCATTCTAGCTATCAACATACAGTGGCCTCAGAGGCCCTTTTCAATTGTGTGAGCCTCCAGTCCTTACCCCAGGGACAAACCTGCTTCCAGGACTCTTCTGAGGGGCACAAATCAGTGGGTTCCAGGTGTAGTAAACTGAGCCACACAGAGCCACCTGCAGACATGTCAGTGGCCTGAGGAGGAGCCTGAGCCCACAAACATCCAAAACAAGCATCAAGAGACTTTTGTGTATTGGTGTGCCCTGCACACCCTGCCTGGAGTTGATTGTGAGGCCCAGAAGAACTGATGTAGGAAGGACAAGAGGTTGCATGCAGTGGAGGCTTGAAGAGCAGTAACACCAGCCAGGAAGGTGTTACTGGGTTACAGGGAAGCACAGACAGGAAGTGTCACCGGGACCACCCCACCTCTGCCTGGAGCCAATGTACCTTCGACAGGCACAAATGCCTGGAGAGAGACTCACACCCAGATAAGATTTCTGGGTCCCTGGGTCTCAGATCCAGTGGTAGGTAGCTCTGCACAGTTGAGGACAAGAAGGGCCTGATGACATATTCCCCTCTTGTCTCTAGAGCTTCCATACATAGTGAGAATCTGGCCCTGATTCCTGTCAGTCACCAGCTTTTCCCACACTAGGGAGACAGGGCAGACATGACAGTTATGCTGGTCCTGGGAGGTCGGGTCAGGCAGCATGCAAACTTCCCTGCCACCATGGTCAAGTCCAGTTCCTCACAGGCATCTAAAGCTGTCCCTGTTTGAGGACACCGTGGAACCTAAGTGAAATGCCCCTATGGCAGGTTTCTGAGGCCCCTGATGGCAGCCCAGGCCCCTAGATCACATTCAGACAGGAGCAAGAAGTTGCCTAGAGGCATGAACTCAGACCCCTTCCACATCCTGCCACCATCCACACTGTTCATAAAGGCAAGTCACCCACTGAGGACTCAAAGAAACTATGACCTCATAAATAGGACCCAGGTATCTGGTTCCCCATGGAAAGAGCAAGGCTGATGTACCCAAGAAACAGGATGCTGGGGTTCAGGTCAAGACTTCGTTTCCTGAAAGGACATCACCAGGGGGGTAGGGAGGTGAGGGTGGGTATACCGGCTGCTAAGCAGACATTTGATGAATTAACTGCAGCCACACAGGGCCAGCAAAGTTCTAGAGAAGGCAGTGAAGGGAACACACTGTTACTATAGCAGCAGACATGGGTTAACACTCAAGTGGAACTGGCATTCTGTCCCTGAATGCCCTGGACTAGCCCCTGGACCATGGGGACATTCAAGGAAACAGCAGCTGGGAACCTAAGTCAGAGAATGCTGGGAAGAAAGGCTCGTGGGAATTTACCTGCCCACCCAGGACCTCAAACACCAATTGCAGAAACCAATGTCATGTGGCAACAGTTTCATTCTGAAGTGTCAAAGAATGACCCCAGGGTCTCTGAGTCACGCTTCCCAGATACCATTGGCCAAGAGAAGTATGTACAGCATCTGCCCTCCTGGGGTGCTTCAGACACTCTGTGCAAAACAAACTCACTCGCTTTCTGTTTTTAACAAGCTATTGTGAAACTGAAGTGTGGGGGAGGGGTGGGGGCGCTCGGGGATCCACTTCAGCAGGAGGAAGCTTTGGCCATGGTCATGATGCTCTATCCCACGCTCAATGGCAGCATTGCCTTTCAGCTGAAAGATGCAGGCTTTTCGGGTAAGGCCACTCAAGCTGCAACAGCCTGACCAACCAAGACACAGGTTTCCAGCAGCATTAATTAGCAAAACCCGCCCATGGGATCTGACAACAGGCTGGCCTCATGGAGCCCCAGTTCCTGCCAGCTCGCTCTCAGTGAGATTTCTAAGAACACAGGCGCTATTGTCTCCCACATTTGCCCACCAGTGTCTTACAGAGCAGGCACCACACCACCCACAGGAAAACCACAAAGGGATTTTGACTTGGAATGTGAGGGGGGTTGGAGGGGACTCCAGACCAGGTGAGGATCAACGCTCTGAGTGTAGCCACGACTGTAGTTCAAGCCATCCGGACAGCTTAGTAAAAGGCTCAGCCAAATATCCTAGAATGTGTAAAGACTGAACAAAACTTTAAAGAGAGAGACTCACTGACACAGTTTAATGACAGGTTCATAGCCACCGCCCCCACCCCCAGAATCAAGGAATCTTCCTGGGGTTCAAATAAAACTAAACACTCATGATAACAAGGCTTTTCCTCAACTCCTTTTTAATAACATGTAGCCCACCCAGTCTCACCCGGTATAAAAACAGGCATTCCTGATTTCTTATAAATTAAACATGGAGAATCGGCATCATAATGCCATCAGGTACAGGTATCAAACAGGACATCACAGACAACAGACAGTGCAGGATGTAGTGACCAATGACCATGAAAGTCAAGCCCAGTCCACGGCAGGTCCCCAGGCTGCAAGCCCCATGATGGTGGCTGATATGCACGGGGCAGCAGACAAGGTGGTACCAGGCTGGCTCTGCAGAGGGTTTCAGTACTACCTCCTGATACCCAGAGGTAGCTGGGTATCTTGGCTTGTTCTAGCAGCTGGTGTTCATTTCCACCCCATGCCATCTATACACAGTGTTCTGTGAAACTTCTGAGCCCAGAGCTGGCACACACACGCGCGGGAGACCTCTGCCATCAGGTGCAGCACCCAGATCCAGTCCGTCTGGGTGTTTTGCAGCTGGCTATATCCACAATCTGGGATGGCTCCTCAGCCCTCTGCTGGGCGATCATAGGCACCACCAGGTCAAACAAGGTCTCAAACAGGAGGTCCACATTGTACCCTGTTTTGGCGCTGGTCTCAAAGCACATCTGCTCGGCAGCTGGCATCTCTTGCTCATCTAGCATCTTGTGCTTCAGGATCTTCCTGTAAAGGGCCATGGCATCCTCTGGCTGCACCTGCCTGGATATCTTGGAGGAGACACAGCTACCCGCCTTCCCAGAGGCCTCTCCTTTGTCCCCGCCCTCTGTGGTCCGCTCCATGGCCAGGTCCACTTTGTTTCCCACAATGGCAAACAAGCAGTCGTTGTTGGCTGTCTCTGTCAGGCCCAGAAACCTGTCCTCCAGCTCCAACAGGCTCTGAGGGTGGTTCACATCATATGTTAGGATGACAGCAGCTGCCCCACGGCAGTACATGGAGCCCAGGCCATGGAACTGCTCCCTTCCTGGCAGGAAGCAAACAGAGAAAGACAGTTATTCAACTCAGGATGCAACCTCCACAACACTATGGGCAGACTCCCCACACTGCCCCAAAGGATTTAGGATCCCAGAGCAGAGAACTGAGACACTAATGGCTAGATAAAGCTGGCCCAAGTGACCAATCAGGGCTCCATGCCTTGCTAAAGCTGGCCAGGGAGACTGAGCAGGGCCCTGTTAAAACTGGGCTCTCCACCCCAGACACCCCAGCAGTTCTCACACCATCTAACCACACAACATTGTGGTGATACCTTGCTTGTACAAATAAAAGTCTGTCTGAGCTAACCATAGATGTCTGGAGGTCTATAGAGACAGACAGAAAGTGAGGTAGCTGGGAGGAAACAAACAGGATATAAGCAGGAAGAAATACGAACTGTCTTTTGTCTGCTGAGATGCCTGAACTCTGGGAGTTCCAGGCTAGCATTAAGACCCTGTCTCAAAAAAAAAAAAAAAAAAAAAAAAAAGCCAGACATGGTCACATGCATACCCGTAAACCTAGCCCTGAGGTAGGGAAGAAGACAGGAGAATTGATGTGAAGATTCAGTGAAAGACCCTATGTCAAAGGACTAAGATGGACAGTGATATAGATTAGAACACTGCCCTATTCCAGCCTCTGTGTGAGCATGGTCACACACACACACACACACACACACACACACACACACACACACACACACACACACACGAAGAAAACAGCTTAAACATGAGGCTGTCAGGACATGAGATACTTCATTGTCCAAGAGCACTGGCTGCTCTTCCAGAGGACCTGGGTTCAATTCCCAGCACCCACGTGATGGTTCACAACAGTCTGTAACTCCAGTTCCTGGGGATCTGATGCCCTCTCTTGTCCTCTGCACAAGTGGTGCACAGGCATACATGCAGGTAGAAAACATCTATACACATCAAATTAAAACCACAATACTGCCCACACGGGTCTTGGTGTGTGTGTGATACTGAGAATGCTACGTAAGCCCCTGCCATGGAGCCACAGTACCACCGCGGGTCTCTAACAGTCCGTGTCACACTCTGAGATGTCACCAGTCACATCGAATCCATAGGGAACTCGATGGCTTGTACTCATGTGGGTGAGGATCCCACCCATCCACAGCTCAGGAGTGTTCTCACATCTGCAGGATATCTGCTGTGACATGGGGGCACTGGGCTTAGGAAGCAGCTATGCAGGCAGGCAGGGAAAGCCACTGCACACGGTGGCACTGCACTCCCACTGGCTGTCACCAAGACCAGCAGTGAGCTGCAGAAGTGTTGCTGAGGCTCACACAGGATGTCTTCCATCCTACAGGCATCTGTAGCAAATACCACCACAACCATAGCCACCTCAAAAGTCACAACGGATATTCCACCCACCCACCGATGGATCTCGTTACTGGACGGTTTGTGCTGTCGACCTGACAGAATCTAGAGTCACCTAGGAGGTGGACCTCTGGGCATGCCTGCATACATAAATTTTATATTAATGGAGATGGGGAAACACAGCCATTATGGTGGGGCCACTCCCTGGCTGGGATCCTGGACTGTGTAAATAGGGAGGAGCTGTTCCCAACCACAAGCCCAGCTTCTGTTGACTCCCCACCAAGACAGACCACACCTTGAGCTGTGAGCTGTAGTAACCCAGCCTCCCTTGAGTTGCTTTTGTCAGAGTATTCTATCACACAGGAAAAGAAACTCAGACATTTATCAGTAAAAACATGGTCCGACTGTATGTTTGGTTTTTGTTTTTAGACAGAGCCTTACTTGGTATCTCTCATCCCTGGGCTTGTCTGGAATTGCTATGCAGACCAGGCTGCCTTTGAACTCATGGAGATCCAGCTGCCTCTGCCTCCCAACACTGCTTCACCAAGGTTAATAATAATCTTTAAACAAGGAAGTGTAGCTGGGAGCTTTGTCTGTGGATAATGAATTTTAACCTGGTATCTGAGGCTTATCCCACCGAAGTGCTGAAGGGTTTAGACCTTTGTTTGAGTGGAAGGTTCCATGAATACATAATGAAGGTGTCCTGGGCCAGCTTCCAACCACCATTTTCAGCAGCAACCTCCACCCCATCTTCAGTCTTCTGAAACAGACACATTCAGACAGAGTGCTTACGTCCAGCCAAACAGTGCTACCCTTTGAATATGTGGCTTTTGTCCCACTACAGAGTTTGCAACACTGACAAGACATACCTTTGCCTACAAAAGAGAAATGCTTCCTCTAACACACACATGCATACACGTACACATAAACACACACATATATACAATATGCCCAAACAAACAAACAAACACACACACACACTCACACACCAGGCATCTCAGAGCACAACCTTCCCATGTCATGAGGTTTTCAACAGTGAGAATGTTTTATCTGTTCAGTCACCCAGATTTCACAAGAGCATGACCACAAGGACACAGAGTGGGGACATTCCACAAGCCCTAGAAGAATTTTTTTCAAGTCTCTGTGACATAGTTCACTAAGGACAAAGAAAGAACTGTATTAACACCCACGCCCCAAATAGCTTTCTGTCCCAGATAAACTGATTTGAAGCTTGGTATATTGGCACACGCCTGCAATCCCAGCACTCAGAAGGCCAGAACGGGTGGTTTGCAAGTTACAGGCTAACCTAGGCTACACTGCAAGACTCTGTCCTGAAAAATGTAGGATTTGGCTTTTGAAAAGTAATTAGTAATTATACAAAAACAGAGGTCACAAACACTGAAGGAAAAGGAGATGTGGAACAAAAAACCCCGAATGAAGCAGAGCGGACACCAGTGAATGGCGCTTGCCATATTATGGCCACCATTAATCTGATGCAGAACTTACACCAGCTGAAGAACTTCCCAGCTAGTCTTTATGCTCAAATCTGTAGCTCAGCTGGGCTCACACCTTTAATCCCAGTAGTCAGGAGGCAGAGACAGGTGGATCTCTATGAGCAAGGCCAGTCTGGTCTACAAAGGAAAGTGCAGAACAGCCAGAGATGTTAACACTGAGAAACCCTCTCTTAAAAAAACAAAAAACAAACAAAAAATCTGTAGCTCTTCAAGCTGCTAATGGGACTCACAGGCTGCACGAATATGGGCACTGTCTACAACAAGCTGAATATAGCAGGGACTGGGGAGGGGAGGATCCCAGGCGTTGAGATGGGCAGAAAAATTGGATGTCAAGAGGACTTTCCTCCTGCACTGATTTTTCCAAACTCAGTCTGTCTTCATATGTAACACTGTATGTGTCTGGGAACTGGACATGTCAGGCAGGTTTGAACATGTCCTGAGACCCTCCCCCTGGTAACACATGGGCATGCCATTCTCCTTGTGCCTACCTCCTTCCGACACTGGGTTCTTCACCAAGGTGCTTGGCTTCCCTGAGAACTGAGTTAACGCCAAGTAACTACAGGCAGTGTGTTGTGGCTCCTTCTGGAACACTGGCATTGGCAGCCAGCATGACTTCCTAGGAGTTCCAAAACATACACAGAAAGTCCCTGGGAGTCTGGCAAGCCTCTTAGCATAAGTTTCCCCATTGTTAAAATACAGTAGCACCTGTTGAGTGGTGGTTGAGAAAACAACAATGAATTCACCCTTGTGAACAACTTAGCACTGAGCCTAGCATGTGGTCAATAAGTCATGAGTCTGATTCCTCCCACCCACCCTCATCAAGTGCACACTCAGATCAAATGCACACTCAGTCCTGCTCTAGTTTCTCCTGCAGACAGTTTCTCAGGCTTGCTGGTCACACAGGCATCTGACCCATGCCCTGCTGGCTCCCTAATTCTTGAGACTGACCTTCTCCCTAATCCTGGAAATTCATGCATTGGCTGTTACACCATGGTTAAAATGGCCCAGAGGCAAACCTATGGAATATGGAAGTAAATGGCCTGCAGTGACCCCGCTCAGCTGCTGGGGCTCTGAAAACAGTCCAGTCACTTGCTACTACATTTCCCAGTTTCCCCAAAGCCAAACAGCCATTGAATCCAAATGTCTGTGGTTTTTATTTCCATGATCCATATCGCGAATGGGTTGGTATGTCTGGTAGAAATCATGAACAGCCCTGCTCACAAATTCTCACTGAGTGGTGGGTAGGAGGGTGGCACACTTTTAAAAGATACTGATATTCCAACCCTAGATCCACACGGATCAGAAGACAGATGCAATGTGCAGCCAGACATACACTTTCTATGCAATGTGCACAGACATGAGGTCACTAGTCTGGGTCCCATTACAAAAAAAAAAAAAAAAAATCATAGAAAATAAACGCATTATTTTTTAAATGGCACCTGGATGAGTATTACAAATTCCACGCAAGCCCAGATAAAGAGGGAATCTGTTCAGTGGAGCTCTGCCACAGGCAGCCCCACAGCCCATTGGACGGGAGCTGGAAGAAAACCCCTGTGATGGTGTGAATAGTGTGATGGGGGGGGGGCACTGAAGCAGAGTGGGGGACGAGGACAAAGGTCGGAGCCAAGAACGGGGTCACAGAGACCTGAGACCCCATGGCTCAGCCTGGGCAAGCTGTGATGTGCTTCCCCATATACATTAGTTATTTTTAATGAAGTTAAGATTTTCTCAGTGATACCAAGTTCAACCCACAAATGCTACTGGAAAGATTATTTTAGCTCTACTTCACAAAGTTCAGTGAACTTTAGCCAACATTTACAGCCAGCCACAAACTACCTTGGACACCCCAGATCTACAACCTGTTTTTTTTTTTTTTTTTTTAAGTATCTGATGGACTGGTCAGTCCATTCAGTCCATGGAAGGCACAGCTCTCCAGGGCAGTCTCAAAAACAAAAAACAAAAACTGAAATCCTCATGAAATAAGGAAAAAGGGGGCCACATGCCACATGTCTCCCTAGGTTCATGGGATGGGCTGCCTGGGGCCCTGCTCATGGCTGCTGCCCACTGCCTCCACTACAGACAGTATAGACAGTGTTCGGAACAGGGCCACCAACAGACTTTATCTGAAACTCTTCCATGCACCA